TATAACTTTTTTTGGAAGGTTCTGTTAATGAAGTTTGATTACACACGCAACAAATTAAAATTCAAGGAAGGACGGGAAATTCTCCTTAAGGTATTCTTCATGGTTTAACAATGGGTGAATTCAATTTGTTAACTTTTCATTTCCCGAATGGGGATGAAATTAAAATTGAAATTTTAAATATTGTATGCCTATGCGTGTACCAAGAAAATAAAATAAAAATATAGAGGTGACATGTAGATTATTGTCCGTTTTTACGGCGTATTTGTGACTTGACAATGTCATTAGATTCAAGGCATCACCACATCCTAGGTTCGAATGAAAGTTGAGCGATTAGGAGTTTTTTTTTTTTTTTTTGTAGAATTACCGGAAATTGGGGTTGCATAAGCATTCGTCTGAACTCCCTTGATAAATTTAGAAAATCCGTCCCAAATCAATTTATAAATGGTAATGAGGTGTATCGTGTATACGTGACATTCCTTTTTGCCATTTCCGAAAGATATTATTGAAAAATTAGATGTATTGGTGCTGCAATGTTGTATTCATTGCTTCATGTATTAGTTTGCGGTTATCAGTATTTTATTGTTTATTGTTATCATTGCAAAAAATAAAAAATAAAATAAAATAAAAAAAAGGTTAAAAGAGATAAAAAATAATAATAATAATAATAAATAAATAAATAAATAAGGTGTGAGAATTTTCGAAGGGTTGTTGTGCATTAAAGGGATACCCAATCCCAATGAATGGATAAATGGCGAATGTGATTTAAAGATAGGGTTAATTAAAAAAATAAATAATAATAATAACAATGAACCAGAAAAAGGAGAAATGAAAAAAAAAAATTTTTTTTTTTATTGTCCCAATCGAATTTGATATTTGATTTTTTCAACTTCATCTAAAAATAGGAATTCCGTATTTTTATTTTTTTTTATACGGGGGAAAATTATCTCAATTCAAAAGATCATTTGGGCTTTTTTCTTTCTCTTTCTTCTTTATGATGAGACAAGAAATCATATACTGTATATATATAAAAAACACTTTCGGGAGATTCAATTAGAGTATGCTAATCGGGAATTTGTGCTGATCGATACTTGAATTTATTTTAATCCGAATTTGGAAATCCAAATAAAGTCGGGAGAAGTTGATGTAATTCCTTATCTTGCATATAGATAGATGCTTTCCCCTCGAAAGGTGTTTCTTTTATTCTTTTTTTTTTAATAGTAGTAATAATAATAATAAAAATAATAAATCGTATTCGTTGAACCAAATAAATTTATTTTTTCAATTTATTTGTCCTTCAGAATTCTTTAAAATATAACACCAACCATGACACGAATAAATTTTTCATGGCATCATGCTTGATTATTTCAATTTTCAAAGGATACAAACCAATGAAATAAGGAATTTAATGAAATGTATGAAGAAAGATTGATCTTTTGGCTTTGAAATATCACACATATACATACACACATCGTATGGTAAAACAACGTTTAAATATGGTAAAATGAAAAATTTTTTTCTAAACCGGTTTTGCAGCACGAGATTTTTTTTTTCGAGGTACACAACCTTTTTTTTTTGGTCGTGAATTCCGAAATTTAACAAGGGTTTCTTTATCTTTCCCCCCTTTATTTGATTATTTTATTATTTTATTAAAAGAAAAAAAAAATACTGGTTTGCAAATAAATTATTTTTTGTTTTTTTTTTTAAAAAAAAAAAATAAATAATAAAAAAAAACCTTTTGAAGATGCCCACGAATTTCAGACTAAAATGGCACTTTTTTTTTTTCGGAACTTTTTTGCTTCGGAAAAACTTTAAAAATCATGATTTTGTAAACCGGTTTGTAAATCACGTCACGAGTTTTATTTTTCGAGTACAGACCAATTTTTTTCCGAAAAAGAAAATTGTTTCGGAAAAAACTAAATCTCGTAGACCGGATAAAAAAAAAAATGCTAGGTCTGATAATAGCTTAAGAAATCAAATTTTTGTTCATCGAGTGTCAAAACCTTTTTGGGTGGGAGAAAAAGGTTCTTTCTTTCTGAAAAAAAAACTATTTTAATCCGGTTTGTGAAAATCAAGATTTTTTTTCGAGCACAAAACCTTTTTTCTTTTGGGGAAATTATCATAAAGACCCTCTGTTGGATTTATTATTTGACAGATCTTGTGATGAATATCAATCCGATTTGTAATAATTCTAATGCTTTCGTTAAAATCAAAATATTACGTTATCATTTTTGATTTTTAATGGATTATTAATTATTTTCCATTGTCATTATTATTATTAATATTTGTAACGACATAATAAAGGAACATCGTTATCTTTATCCAACTTCATTGTGGGAAAAGTGTTTAACCGTACATGGTTAGTAACATTAATAAATTTGGATTGAAATAAAAAAGTTTCAATAGTCCGTTACTTCCTAATCTTGGTTTATTGAGATAAACATTAATTTCCTTTCTTCATATTTATGCATTATCAGAGAAAAAGTTTCTACAAAAGAAAATAAAACAAAGGTCGGGATATTGGATAAGGATTATTATTACTACGTGAGTTCCGCGATAATCATATACGTGATCGATCGGAGTTCATGCGTTGTTTTGTATCATTTTCGCATCTTTGTCCAATTAAAATTCGACAAGGCCAAGCCAACAAGATAATCTTCTAAAAGTAAATCAGCATATTCTTTCATATTCACATGGCGCTACTATGAAAGAAAGTTTTTGGTTCTAAAAACGTCAATAACATCTCAAATGAATTTACTGTCAAATGTGTTATTAATCAATACTAAATTGGAAGTTGGTATGCATTGAATGAAGGTACATTTTGGTTTTTAGGTTTATCAATCAGACCGATATATTCTTTCTTTTTTTCTTTTATTCTTTTTTTTCTTTCTTTATTTATTTATTTATTTATTTATTTATTTTTTATTTTTTTTTTTTGAAAAAAAAAAGAAATTCTTGTTTGGTTCCAAATTAACTTTGTTGTTTATCCTTTTTTTTTTAAAAAAAAAATTTGAATAGGTGATGATTTCCAACATTTTTTTTTTTACAAAAAAATTTCAAAAGCTTTACGTAATAATCGACTTTATTATATCTCTTATCAGAAAGAAAGAATTCTCTTCATTACATGTCACAGGAATTCTACATTGGAATTCTTCTCCATTATTTGGAATACAGTAAATCAGATGTGAATGAATATTTTATAAACACAAATGAAAATTATTCGCGTCAAAAAAAAATCATACAATACGGATAAGAAATTTACCTATTTATGGTTAAGTCATTTATCAATACGCCAAGAGAGTTATTATAACGTTATGTAAATTTATTTTACAATGGATTTCTTTCTTTCTTTTCTTTCTTTAAGCTCATTTTATCATCATTACCTATTTTTTACCAATTCATCTAATATATTCAATCAGGTGTAACGAAACTAGACCTCTATTTTATTTTATTTTATTTTTATAATTAGATCAACAAACCCTTGAGACCAAATTTATAAAAATAAAAAAAAATCCAAAGAACTAAATTTGTCCCTGTGAATGGAATAATAAGAAAAGGTGATACGGTGTAACACGTGATGGCGTATTAGCGCGGATAGAAATGTTGTGCTATTTATGATCCCAACATTCACGATTACTCTCCAATGATATAACCCCGAGTTAATCCTGAGATTCCGAATTGAGAATTCTTCTATTGGACCAACATGTTTCAACAAAAAATAGGAAAGGGAAAAGGAATTCTCATTGATTTTTCTCCGAATTAGGAAATATATTTTTATTTTACCCGAATTACAGAATTATGTAAAGCAAAAATGATTATTTGTTTATCGGTAAAAAAAACCAGTGATATCGTTGATCTTCGGTCATCGACAGATGAACCGTCTTTAAAATTACTTTTTCTCGATCCGCATTATTGCAAAAGGGTAAATTTCAATCTGGGAATGAATGCCAAATCATTCATTTGATGTGTGTTCAAATGCCAGACCCAATAATTTGAAACGGTTTGCACCTTGATTGGAAATTTGTAATCAGATAGATTGTTAAATTATTTAATGTTGATCTATTTACTAAATTTACTAAGCAAGAAAAAAAAAAGTTTTTATCATCTTATTAAAGCTAAAGCTTTAACTTGGTTAACATTAATAAACCTTCATTAATGTATGCAGTTAATTTAAGGCGATGCATCAATCAAACAAACAAATGATTTTGTTTTTTCATAGAGAAATAACTTGGATATTACGGGTCAAAAGACTTTGGGCTCAGCCCCAAATTTGTGGCGCGATTATTTTTTTTTTTTGAAGACAATCTATAAATTTTTCCCTGTTTTTTTATTCATTATTCATTATTTATTTATTTAATTAACAATCTCTCGTGACACAAAATTTACGAATTTTATTTTTTTTTTGTTTGTCAAGTTGGTCCAGTTAATAGTTAATCGAAAAAAAAAGGAAAACTCGATGATGTTCTTCTTGTTGAGGATAAAAAATTTCTTTCCTTCCATTTAATCATTTCTTCTCCTTCATTAACCATATTTCGAAGCTTCTTTTTTTTTTGCATCAACTTTCTGTTTTGATTTCTTCTAAGAATGGTCCAATCAGATCGTACATGGATTTTCTGACATTTTTCTAAAAAAAAATTTAGTCTAAATTTTTCCCTCCGTCATAATTTTCTCATTTTCTACTCCCTATTTTCTTTCTTTTTTTTATTTAGTCTTTTTTACATATTTCATTTTCGGATATCGCGCGTTTGAACCTATCTTGAGATATAACGTAGTAAGCAAAAAGAAACCTAACGAAAGTAATATCATTTTTCACATTTTCTTGATAGAAGCAAAAGAATTATCATTGCATCCCTCATTCAATTCACCCAATTCTCTAACAATGCATCGACCAACGTTTACTGCTCAAGGATTAAAGAATTTTCGGAAAAAAATTTCTAATTTTGACATTTCACATTCTGGACAACTATTGGCTAGATCATGACCCGAACTTCTCACGTGATCAGATGATTGCGGCTGTGGTTCTAAAGGAATTCTTACGTTTGACGTGCAAGGGTTGGAAGATCGTTACATTCGCCCTCAATCAATGGTTAAATAATAGTAATTTCTCGTACGTGCAATCCTTGGCCTTACAAAGATTGCTCGGACCTAACGATCGAAGGGTATGTAAATGGAAATAGTGAATTCTTATGATCGAACCTTCGCGTCATTTTAACATTTTCAAAAAATTTTTTTCTTTCCAGGTTATTGAACATTAACGAACAACTTACTGAACTAAAAGATCGTAAAATGTTCCAAGAGTAAGTATTTTATTAAAAAATGTTTTATCATTTTTACCTTTTTTTTTAAAAAAAAAGAGCGATCATGATAATAATAATTGTTAAAATTTACTATACCATCCGGTTTGATCGAAGAATATTTACCAAACCTAAAAACATTAAGCTTGTTGATATCTTGTCAAAATTAAAGGATGCAGCATCAAATCCAAGTGACAAGATGGAATCAACAAGTGTGATCAAAAGCCATTAGAACCGATAATTTTCCAAGTAAAATCAAAGTTTTGCTTTTAGCTCAAGACTTGCTAGAATATCATCATCGTATCTTGTTAAGAGAAGGTTATGACGTGATCGGTAGAACATCACGCATCAATTGATACTGGATGAACAAAGTTCGTTTCCTAAATCATTGAAGCGTACTACAAAATTACGGGAACCGACCACTTTAGAATATCTCAATATTTCCGGTTTCGTATATCATCTCGCATATTATATGCCTATCAATTGTATGGTGACCGATGGATTACAATACTACAATACTTCCGAATTCTGCTGCTTCATTGCATACTCTTATATTTCATTTATAAACTGATAGTCCAGAAAATCTGTTCTCGATCAGCGATAGGTACGCAAGGAGCTTCACTGGTTTGGAAGATTCATGCACGTGTGAGGTTGATGCGTGTTCCCTGGGAAATGTCATCGGCGCACCATGATTCGTTCTCTAAACGAATCTCCGTGACTTAAAACTTCATAATGAGGTTGAATTGAACAATTACCTGTTTCCCTAAAGAAACTTTGTTTACATCCGGGTTATAAGCAACGTGTGAGTAGTTCATCTTTGCACCTCGTCGATAAGAAGGGGATCACGATTGAAGAATTACCCAGTGGGTTATTTGGATGCGCAGAATCTAGCTAGAATGACATGTTTTTGCGTTATGTTTAAACAAGGTAAAGGGTCATAACTTGAAAGTAACGAATTTATAAATCTTGCATCTTTTAACCTTCTTTTATTGAATATTAGTGACATACAGTACTTTTGGGGGATTTTAAATGAGCCGGTAACAGAAAGGCTTGGTATTTGAAACTTCTTGATCAAATAAATAAATAAATATTTCATGAAGTCTTCCAAAATACTCTTCACATTAGTGATACCTGCCTAAACTCTTTTTTGAGAATTTGTAGTTTCGTCAAAAGGTTTTGTCTTTTTAAATTTTTATATGAATAAATATATAATTATTATATTTTTTAATGTATTTTAATTCAAGAGATCAAGTTAAATATAATTTTGGCAATTAAGTAAAATAAATTCGTCATTAATAAAAAACTAGTTTCATCATTTCGATTTCGTCAATTTCGTCATATTAAGAAAGGTAATTTCGTAAGGTATCACTACTTCACATACAATTATATACATATACAAACATATATATATTCAACAAATGTTCTTTTTTTTCTTTAAAAAAAAAGTAATTCTGTATATTAAATTTAACACATCATGTGACAAATTTCATTGCGTTCCAATAAAAAATCATATTATTGATATAAAAAAATATACTCCTGATGAATTGGGGGAAGAATAGATGCTTCTTGATAAATTGCAGACTATTATTTATTTTTTGAGTAATATTATACAATGAACATATTAAATAAACAAACAAAAGATAAAAAAAACCCCCCCTTTAAATTAATTAAATCCTTAATCTTGAGGAGGTTCTTTTTTAAGCAAATCTCTTAAAAAATCATGTATCGCAGGTAATTTCATATTAGATGATGATGACGAATCACCTGCATTATTACTACCATTTGTTTCGGATTCTTTGCCTTTTCTTCTTCTAACACTCTCACTAGAATTTTCGGTCGTAACTTCAAATCTTTTCTTATCAACAACCGAAACCATTCGTTGAAATTGATGAAAAAGGGTTTCAGCTCGTAATAATGTTTCATCGAGAGTAATGGTTGTTGAAAGATCATTAACATACTAAATATATATATATTTTGAAAAAAAAAAAATTAAGATATAATGAAAAAGTTATATAAATTCAAATAATACTCTTACCTTTAATATTTCATCAAATTGTTGTAAATTCTCCATTATTACCATTCGATGCTTATCTAAAATAGCTAAGGCAACGAATAAATGAAACTGTGAACTCAAATAATCAGACCAAAGTACTTCCCACAGAAAAAGCACTTCGTCCCATTTGAATTCTCTTTTGAACCAAACAAGTATCCAACGAAAACAAAAAAATAGATTTAATGAATCGGTTTTCTCTATTTAGATATGGGTTATATAAGTATCAATACAAATCAACAATATGTCAAAATCATATGAAATATGATGAACAATATTGAATAACTCACGAAGGTGCTTATATAATTGAGGATCCATAAATTGTATTAAATGATTAAGTGTTAAAAGTTGTTTCCTCATTCCTGATTGATCTCTATAAAAATTTGATTTCTATTATAATAAAAGGTAATATAAACATGCGTGCTTATTCGTACTAGAATGCAAAAAAAATTTAAACAGGTTATACCATACGGTTCATAAATCCCACAAAAGCCCAAAACGCCGTAACTTCATTACGCATAACAACAAACAATGGTGCTAATAAGTCACTCATTCCTTGAACGTAACCTAGTAATTTTTTTTAAAAAAAAAATCGCTCTATTAGCATTTTCCTAGTATGAACCCAACCCTTCAAAAACTAACCAAGATCTTTGTTATAAAAATTATATGTCATCAAAATATCTTTCATAAGTTCAAGGTTCTTGTTCGTAAAAGTAGAAGATGCTGATGATAATGGATCGGGATGAGGCATATCTTCAACAGCAAAAAAGGATATGCTGCGGTCAGTTCGAATTACATCCTTCTCTATAAAAAAATCTTTTTTTTTTAACTATTTTGATGCTTTTATATTTACTAATTCTATGAAATTAATATAAAAAATTGTAAAAACAATTCGACGTGCACAAACCTATCCTTGTTTTTTGTTCTCTAAAAGTTTCATCGGCCTGTACCTCAGCTGAATCCCACCATTCTCGTTTTAAAGCCCAATATTGATGACTTTATAATAAATAAATATCGTAAAATGATACAAACAAAAAATGATGATAATGAGAATAATTTGTACATACGCCTTAGCTTCTAACATACTTTCTCTTTCTATTTGACTTGAATCCCATGAGTAAATACCTAAGAAAAATTTCCAAACTTCAACTCTAATATCATCTTCAACACCCTTTTATTCGATACATATAAATAAAATATACATGAGAGAATATTGATGATTTCATACATTAATATTATAATAATAACTTACCCCTCGGAAAACTGCCTCTTGTACCTCACTTAATTCTACTTTTAGTCTTCCTTCCGTGTCAAAAAAAGAAAACCATCTTTCAGCATTAAGAGGATTCGAGCGAGTAGCGTGCAATGGTGGCAATGTCGCTTCGTTCTATTTAATATATATATGATAAAATTATTAAGCCATATTAACCGAGTGGTAAAAATCCTCATCATTGAAAATATGAATCCATTTTTTTTCTGTACGGGATATTACATACGCTCAAAATTTCAAATGCTCCCACCTCTGTTTCCTCTTCCCATGATCTTGGATCCGAATCGGACCAACGTTTTTTCCAATTATTCATGTATAACTCTTCACGCGATTGATTAGGATGTTCTGATATGGCCGACACCTCAGCCTGTTCAGCAACAATCGCAGCCCATTTCGCCAAGTAAAGTCTTCCTGAATCATATTCATCAACTACTGAACGGGTGGATTCTGCTGGTACAATTCCAGAAGAAAGGTGTGGTAAAAGGGGACGTGCCAATGGATTTTCAAGTAGGGTTGCTTAATTTATTTCAAAGTTCAATAGAAAGGATATATATTTATATATATAACAATTTTTAATTGATTAAGACCAATCAACTTGATATTAAAACCATACTAGCTGTATTTCGTGTATAACGGGCAACCTTAGAGAACTGTTCTAAAACGTTCCACTTGATTTCTTTGACAGTCTAATAAGACAAAATGCTATTAAAAGATAACTTCGCAGAGCTATAAATATATAGTTAACTTACCTCTTCGATGGGCTCCATATGAAATATATTGCAATATAAAAATCCCTAATTATTAGACTCGAAAGTAAAAGAAGTACATAATTTATTTGTTATTAACGTAATTTAATCGATGTCAAAAATACATTTGCAGATCCCTCCTTTTAATCTTTCAGAGACTAATATGGCAAAATTCCTTTCTTAAGAACAAACTTTATAAATATTAATTATTTGTTTATGTGATACATCACGTAATTAATAAAATTTTATAATCTGAATTTTGATATATTTCTTTAAAAGGTTAAGACTATATATTTTGTTAATTTTAAAAAAGATGAAAAATGTATAAAACAAAATGTGACACAAATGATTAATTTAAAATATCTGAAATTTATAATAAATATTAATTTTACAACATTAAAGTTTCTGAATTTGCTTTATAGATTTATCAAAATATTAAATTTTATAAAAATATTTAGTTAGAAATTAATTTGAATGAAGATATCGGATCTGCTAAAAATGAAAAATTATAAATAATATATACTAATAAGATAACAAAATTGGAATTAATATTCTTAAATTATGAAATCCTCAAAGAAAACTTAATTAAACAGATTAGAAAAAATTTAAATAGTAAAACTTTAAATCTAATTAGTAAAATAAGTTCAAATTTAACATATTCAAAATTTATTATTAGAATTTTCTTCCTTTCTACTATAAAATACTTTAAATTTAATAATACTTGATAAATTTTTTTAAAACCAGAACTGGATAACGTTCTTATAAGAGCGTTATCCAATTGCACTATTATGTTATTTAGTTATGAGTATAATGTTACCTAATTACTGTTTTCAATCTTTGTGAGCTTTTTATTATCTTGTAGCTATCCGCTTGTTTTCATTGCTCTGTAGCTTTTTTATTGTATTGTAGCTATCTGCTTGTTTTCATTGCTTTGTTCTCTTTTTATTACCTTCTAGTCATCTGCTTGTTTTCATTACTCTGTAGCCTTTTTGTGATCAAGTTGCTAGACCAGTATTGGTTGCAAAAAATTGTGCCAAAATAGTGTAAAAAAAGGTGATGGATAGCGTAATAAATTCATAATAAATTTTGACCATCACTTTTGCTGATTCTTAGGTCACATAATTTGAGATTCAGTAATATGCCAGCATCAAGGTAGTGTTCTAGCTACTGGCTGATTACTGGCGTGAAACTGACAGTGAGTCAAAGTGTTTCTATAAATTCATCAGCTTGGATACAAAAGCATTGTGTCCTATTTTAGCCTCTTAGGAATCCTGGAATTATGAAATAGTATTGGTCAAAATTATTGTAATTTACTGTGTTAGCACTTCCTCGTCACTTTCTTACAACTTTCTCGTTACTTTCAAGAAATATTCAGAATTCAATCTGATGAATTAATTGGTCAGAGGTTTAGAGATAGCCATTTGATTGCTGAATGAGACACAAAGTGCTGAATTTGCAATCTATCTATTTTTTGAAGATATACTGCAATCTATTTACCATCTCTTGATTGCCAGGTGAGGTACATGCGAAGTGCCAGTATTATGCTACTTTTGCAATTCTGCCTATAACCTATAGTTGCAGAATGAAACCATAATAGGCTAATGTCAAAAGTCAAAACTAAATCTGTCAAAAGTCTAAATGTTTCGACAGGTTTCGGCGGGTTTAAATAGGCGTCAAAATGCCTAAACTTAGTCAAAACTTTAGACCAATCAAAATCAGTCATCTGTATTCATCATTCAGCCCATCCCAGAATTTCAGAAGGCTTTGGCAATTACAAAGAGAGAGGTAAGTAAAATTTAAAATTTTTATATAATATTTTTAAAAAGAAA